GGTGACTAGTGGGTCTATTGGATGTAGTGGAGGCGGGAGAGGGGTTAAAAAAAAAAACGGGATTCGGCATGACAGTGCCGCTTTAATAAAACAAATCGTTAAGCATATCAAAATACCATTTTAAAATAATGAATGCTGTGTTATGTATTATCAAGAATCTGTATTCACACAATTCACAGAATTGTATATTCTGTAAAATATTTACTTTTCATTTATTCTTTATCATCAATCTTCATCATAATCATCAGTGTTTATCATTAATCAGATTCACTGTCACCTTACTTGACATAGACTGTGTTCCACAAAGTTGCTGACAGTGTGCAAATTGTCTGTGTTGTAAGGGAGGTCTAAGACATCATTTAAATATGTGTTCAGAGAAGAATAAATTACATATTATATTATTGAAAATCTTCTGTTTCCAGTAGCAACTGGTCAAGGTTAAAGTTGATGGGGCACTAGATTGTCCCCCTGATATGTGCTTTGATTCTTGACTTGTGCTCTGCCATTTAACCCCATATTTTAGAACTCCAGCATAATGAGAAGTCATACCTTATTTAACACTATGAACCTACAGTTCTATGTATTTGCTAAACTTGAAGCCATACAAAATTGGCCAACACCACTAACTAAGAAACAGGTGAGAAATTGTTTGGTCTCATTGGTTATTACAGGAGATTTATATCCAATTTTACTAATATCAGAAGCTGTTATAACGTGGTTTGTGTTTTCTAAGTTAAATAAGTCTTTTATGTATATATCTTCTTTGGTTAACAGCCCGCCAGATTAATATACATCTATTTTAACCAAAAAGTACTAATATGCTTTATTAAAAATATGTGCATTTATTCTACTTCAAACAATAAATACTTAACAGATGATATTTCTTAATGACGCTACAGAGAGTGAGAGATCTTTTTTTTATTTTTATTACATTTTAACATCGACACTTTACATAGAACATACATTGCAAAGCAGTCATTATCACAAAACAGTAACAAACCCATCACCCTACGAGAGTTCTCAAATACTGACCATTCCCTTGTTGCGTACTTGTTTGGTTATGATTTTACATATCCCGTAGTTTAGTGTCCCAACTCACCCAGATACTAGAATTATTATTCAAAACTTTTGCAATAGTCCTTCTCCATTTTGAGTTGGTAATCCAATTGTGAGGTTATTTGTTTAATGGTAAAGGCATTGTCCCCCTTCCAATTTCTTGCTATTACAATCCTACAAGCCATTAGGCAGTGTATAGTCAAAAAATTGTCTATTTTCTTTAATTTTGGCCAATTACAGTGCAATAGCATTACTTCGGGTTTTAAAAATATTTTTACATTGCACAAATTTTGTATGATATATTGGGCCCATTGCCACATCACACACACTTTTTTACATGACCACCACATATGCAGACAGTGTGAGTGATCTTTTTAAGTAAGTTGTCTTTGTATCAGCAAGTCAGGGACACACCAGGAGAGGAGAGCGGAGCATAGGAGAAAGAGAACCTGGTCCTTTGTCATAACTTTTAATTTAGACTCTGACCATATAAGGAAACTCCCCATATAAGGACCCTACCCCCAATCTCTCTATATAGCACATTCCTCATGGTACAGAATAGCAAATACCATCTGTTCTTTTTAACCCATTAAACATCCATCCATATGTATTTGAATAGGAACATATAGAATATGTAATATTCTACAGAAGCCCATTAACTGACCTTAATAAAGCTAATGCCCCTGTAGTGGTAAAATGGTCCCCAGAGACTAAACAAGCATTCAGAAAGCTTAACAAAGCCATTTGTGCCCAACCAATGTTGAATTTATTTTACAGACAGATTCATCTAATGTAGGGCTTGGTTCTGCTCTCTCTCAGGAAATTCAGGCTTGAGGAGCACCCCATATTATATTTAAGCAAGGAGCTTAATCCCCAAGAAAGAAACTATTCTATTGTTGAGAAGGAGTGTCTTGCTATAAAGTGGGCAGTAGACACACTCAAACACTATCTCTTGGGAAGAAGATTGAGACTAGTGACAGACCATGCACCTCTTACTTGGATGAGCCAAAACAGGTAGAAAAATAGTAGAGTGACCTGCTGGTTCCTTAGCTTGGATCCCTATACTTTTTACATAGAGCTTTGGGCTGGGTGTAAACAGGGAAATGCAGATGTTCTTTCATGGATGCACTCGCTAATGTCCATGGTCGCTCAACCCACTAGGTCTGAGCTGGTGTTCAGGAGATGTGACTGAAAGCAAGGAATTATGCTGGATGGAGTCTATATATCTCCCTATATTATGCAAGCTTCCTACTTTGTGTAATTAGCCCCAGGGAAATGTAATGTATCAAAATTAATATTGCACTTTATTTAGGTGTATGTTTGGCACCTGGAGTTGAGAACTTGGAGAGTAGGGTGGGCCAGTGTTCCACTCCACATTTTAGAGGTTGCTTTGAAACTGCAGGTGAGGAGTCCAGTTCCAGGGTTTCAACACTCTGATTTACCTCACCTGAAAAAGATTGTTAATTGCAGGTGCTATTAAGTACTCCCCTGTCAAAGGAGGAGTACAGAGTGTGTTTGTTCTTGTGAGTTGAAAGACAAAATCTGAGAGAACCTAAAACAGTAAGGTGGATATTTATGCTTATTTATGTTGGTAAAGGGACAAGCCATTCAACCCAGTTAGTTTCTTATTTGTTAAGTTATACCTAACTGCACATTGTAAAATTTTCGAACCACAATAAAAGAGCAAGTAATTTTACCTCATTCAGCATGTGTAGTGTCTCTATAGGCTGAAAAGACTGTGTGTAACACCCTAATCCCAGGACAAGATACCAGAGGAAATTAGTACTTTTGTCACTATATATATATATATATGTATATATATATATAGTTACATAGTTAGTTACATAGTTACATAGCTGAAAAGAGACTTGCGTCCATCAAGTTCAGCCTTCCTCACATTTGTTTTTTGCTGTTGATCCAAAAGAAGGCAAAAACACCCAGTTTGAAGCACAATTTTGCAACAAGCTAGGAAAAAAATTCCTTCTTGACCCCAGAATGTCAGTCAGATTTATCCTTGGATCAAGCAGTTATTACCCTACATTGAAAGATTATATCCTTGAATATTCTGTTCTTGCAAGTATGCATCTAGTAGCCGTTTGAACATCTGTATGGATAAAACCACTTCCTCAGGCAGAGAATTCCACATCCTGATTGTTCTTACAGTAAAAAAACCTTTCCATTGCCTTTTATTATTTATTTTTTAAACTGATAGCCAGATTGTCAACATACTTTTTTGTTTTTCATGGCTGAGCTATATGTAGTGAATATGTGTGTTTATTTTTTTCAGTCATTTACCTTTTGATATCTTGTACATTATTTCTTCTTTTGGTATAACTGAATAAAAATCATCTTACTGACATTTTATGTATATATTCTCCTTTGTCTAGTAAACATTTTTTTTTAACTAATCCAATTATTTGAAATATTGTGAAATCCTAACCTTTATATTAAACTTTTTTCTTTTTCAGTAATTCTGGTTCTGTCCTCAATCGGGTGTTCCAAGCAGCAATATCTTACACTCACACTTGGATGTGGGATATATGGGATCAAGATTGTTTTGCACTCAGTTTGTTTACACAATCAGCTTGATCACCAAAGACACTATGTACACATCACACTATTGATGACTTACAGTCTTGGATAGATTTCCTGAGCTTTTGCTCATGCATGGCATTTGCAATTGGTGACCCAGGTAGGATTGACATATTGATCCTTTCGTTTTCTATGTAAATTAAAGAACACTTTGAGAGTAAATGCATTACTCTATAACTAAATATAACTATATATATATATATGTCTTTATAAAGTTTATAGTTTATTTCATGCAATTGGAACACAGCGATATAAATGTATTTATTTTTACATTTTTAAAGCATTACTTGCTATGGGCAGCTATAGCAGCAGCTGTAATTCTCAGCTTATGCTTGCTTCCATATTTGCACGCTATATAGTTGCCTCACTATGCAGGCTGAAAAAGCAGGTAAATTATAGTTTTATTCATATTGACCTGTTTCTTCTTTCTTATGCTTTCCACACTCGATGCAGGGGAGACACTATCTAACCAATCAGTGTCATATACCTAGTAATGATGAAAAGTGCCTTCACCATTCCTGACAGATTTGCACATGGGAAGTTGGAAGATCTCTTCACCTTAACATCTTAAGAAGGAGATAAGAGAGGGAATCGGATCAGTGCAATGGCAGGTTTCTTTCTCCCCCTGCTATTTTATGATGTCATCAGTGGACTGGTCTGAAACTGAGATGGGTAAGTAAGAGGGAGTGGGGCTGGAGAAACTCCCCTAGCTGAGAGTCGTGCCAAACAATGCAATTGCAATTTGAGAAAGTTTATAAACATTTACTATATACTCTTCAAAAATGCACTTGCTTTATTTTGATTTCTATGTTTATTTAAAAGTGTTTGCTTTCTGGTTTCAAAAAATAATTGTCAAGTGATGCATGTACCTTTTAATTACATAGAAAAACAATAAATTAACATTTTATCTCAGGCTATCTGCAATCTGAAACTCAAACTTTTCTATCTAGTATTTTATGTGTTTATTTTAACTTTTAAAGAAAAGAACGTTTGACGTAGAACAACATCCAAAATGGTGAATCGAACAATAGTTCAAAATACAAAGTGCATAACAGTAAATGATATGTAATGCCAATCAGGAGACTACCATAATGATAGCAAATTTAAGATCAAGATATACCCTGCACCTTGTACCTGAACAACTAGTCTTTTTATATATCTTTATTTTATTTCTGTATTTACATTTTCCATATGATTATGTTGTTAGCGTTCTAGTTCTATTTGGATTACAAATCAACGGTATCTAAATTTCCGTTTTTTTTCTTTAACGAGTAAACATTATTTCTCTATTCACTGAACAACAAACGAACAGTTTTGTACAATGTTTTAGCAATATGTAATACACTGCTTACGTTAGTCATATACAACTGCCAAGTCTTTTTATTGACATGGGTCTTTTATAATATCTTAACTTCAGTATGCAAATGTCTTCTTGATAACTAAGTAGTAGCTTAATAATATAATTTTAAATGGGCACTCCTTGTCAATCAGGTAACATTCAGTGCTTGATATTTTTAGTTTAGTGCTTGATAAAGTTTTTTTTTTTTTAATTCCAGTTCTTTGTTAGACGTTGATCTGTATATATGTCTTTAGTATACTAGTATTTTATAATTACAACATTATTCTGGAGTTCTAAGATATTAGTATAAGCAGATTTTATTTACATTTAAAATAAATTAATTTGCAAGTAAAGGGCTATTCCCAACATAGAGTAAATGTTTTATTTGATGTTTTTCAAAGATTTCATTTTACTTAATAACAAATGTCAACGCACATTTGTAGAACCAGACATATATTTGTTTATTAGTCTATTTGCTTGTTTTGATGTGACCATGGATCTGACAGAAGAAAACTAATTAAATGTGAAATATATTTGTTCTGCTAACTACACAATTTCAAATGGATCTATAAATTGTTGTAGATGTTTCATTGACTGAATTGCACTCTCAACATTTGAGAAAGCAGTACATTGGGTATTTCGAGGTCATTTAGTTATTCTTTTGAAAAAATGCTGATAAGTGTCAGGATTAGCTATACCCAACTTGAATAATTAAGTAAAACAAGGAATAAACACAAAAATCCTTAAAAATGTATTACCAGGCCTTAGAAGGGCCAGAGGAAACACAACAAAATATAGTCAGAAATACAGAAAGAGACAACATTGAGAAGACACGCCAAAAGGTCAAGGATACCATAAACAGGGATAGTCAAGAAGGCCAAGGTCAACATGACAAAAATGATGCAATAAGAATGCACTCTCTGATAACCAGCTAGTGGAAACCATAACAGAGGACTAATAGCAGGCAGTTTGGGGTTTAAATAACCCTAAAACGATCATGATTGGTCAGGATGGATCCTTTGACACTAGAATGTGCGTGTGCATCGATGATGCAATGACGCATCCACGTTCACGCCCTACACCTCCAACTATAAATTTGACATTAAATATTGGGGGGGGGGGACTAGGTAAAAGCAGATTTAAGTTGCTTGACGCTTTCAAAAATAATTAACAAAATAAAAATGTTAAAGGTCTCCAGAGAATAGTAGGTGCTCCTGCTATTTCATCCCACATGTTATACATAGTGGCATACTTTATATACAATAAACAGTGGATGCCATAGAGTATTCCCTGACTCCCTGTGTGTATCTAGGCAACATTTTCTGACTCATTGTGCTGTGCATAAATTTCAGATTTGACATTTCCTGCTTTAGTTATATTTGCCTGAATATAGTTTAATGTGGATTGAACATGTATTAATGAATATTACTAAAACTAAAATAATAAAGAATAACATAACACAAATGTAATATAAATACACAAAATAGAATCTTATTGATGCAACATATAAGCATAAAGTATTAGAGTCTTGTAAATCTACAGCTTGCATGCTGAGGGATAGTATATCATGATAATAATAAACTAATATGTAAGGCAATAAAATACATGGTATACTTTTGTAATTTGTTAGATTATATCTATAAAGTTTATTTTATCTGTTTCACTTTAATATTATTATAAATAAATAATTTAGCTAGAAATATTTATTTTTTTTGTAAATAACCATAATATTATACATTTTCTAAATATATTTGCATGTGGAGTATGGTTCTTTTCTAATTAATACTTTTTATATGTAAGACCTTTTTTAAATTGTAATTAGATTTTTATAATATATTCAAAATTACTAAAATAAAAATTAGCATATAAATATTTGTACTACAACTTGAAACACAAGTAGTATAGTTATTTAAACATATCTCGAGACTCATCATGTAACAAGAGAGGGAGAATACTCTCTTTCAGAGAAAGCGGTCATCACTATCATTCTCTCTTATTAGAAGAAATATTAACCAATGTATGACCAGTGAACAAGCTCCCCTTTTCTAATAACTCTCTATGTAGAGAATTAGCAAGGAAGGCATACCCGGTGTCCTCTATTCCAATCTCCACCCAAAAGTCTTCCTTGGGCATTCTCCAAACATGAAGCAGTAGAAAAGGGAAGGACATTCACTAGTCATATGTTGGTTAATATTTGGTGTAATAGGAAGAATGCCCAGTGCATCTTTGAGTAAATATTTAGCCATCTTACGGGTGATGGGTGGCAAACAATGCAAGTATTTAGGATATGGGGTCAATAAGTTGCTTGGCAATGTATAAACAGATTAGAAAATGCCCCAAACCTGAGTCAAAATAGATATAAGGTAAGAGAATTTGATTGAATTCTTACCAAATAAAACTAAAGAGGATCTGGTTATGCCAAGACTCTTGTCTGAAAGTTTTAATGCTCACTTGCCTAGGGTTTCCCACCTCACCCCAAGAGTTTTCCAACTCACCCCAAACTCTCAATCTCAATCTAACAAGTAGAGGATTTTCTTTCTTTTAAATTATATCTTTAGTCTATAAAAATTGCAAAAAGCCTAATGCACCTGATCTAAAAAATAAAATAAAAAATAAAATCAGAATCCCCCCTCGGAGTACAAAACAAAAAATATATTCTGACAGGCTTCAGTATGCCATGACTGTTTATTTGCAAAGGCAACAATTCGCAGTCACGTTTTATTCCAAAAAAGATGTACCCAACTCAGTACTGTAATTACACATACAATAGGCATATAAAATATTTATCAGAGGACAGACAGTAGAGTACAGTAGATAGTGTACTTTATAGGGGGACTGTGAATCAGAGGGATTAGTAGGGGACCCAGGGGCTTGTGGATCCCTATATATTAAAATATATATTCCTTGAAGGAGAGCGCTTAGAGGACTTGTATAAATTATAAATACACTGTTATTAAGAAAAGATCTACATTTCAGTCCTTATCTCAGACTTGTATACATTATATGTATCCTTGATACACGTGTGAGGTATGGACTGAAAGGCCAAAGATTTAATGAGATATCAAGTGCAAAGCCCAACTCTTGTTTTTGATAGGTTACCTTTTTTTCTGATTGAT